TACGGTGCCTCCTGACATCTGGACTGAATTTATCATATTATCATGTTAAATCATACATCAAAATTCTTTCTCACTGGTATGGTTTTCATTTTGTGGTTTTCAGTTCTGTCTTAGGACATTTTTAGATACTGGTGTGTGGAACTTTGGTAATTACTCTATTTAGTGTCTGGCTAAGTGTCTTGGCAGAATTAAATCATGTCTCAGTTGTTTATTTTGGATAGATGTAGACCTCTTTATTCAATCTAAGTTGTACATTACATCATGTAATAGCTGTGCACTGCACCTGTGGCACTTCCTCTGCAGAAGGTATTTCAGAGGAAACACATGGACTTGAGGGCTGAAAGCACTTTTATTGTGCTTTACTTCAATAAATATTTGGGAACGTTTTACATCTGCTTAAATGTTCACCCCTTCATCTTGTCTGTTTTCTTCGTATTGAAAAGTTTATGAAAGTATTTTTTTAAGCTGCACTTTTTGGCTGCTTCTGAGATTTGTACCAGTTAGGCAGTCGTGGCTGGTGGGAACAACTTATGTGGTCGTACAACTAGGAAAGAAATCAGGACTGTGTATTTCATTCATCCATAGTTTATGTGATAGAAAGAGAGCAAGACAGGTAATAGCCACCTAAAAAACTATTAATGAACCATACACCAGAAAAAAAGGCATTTGCTGAAATCATCCAGCATCTTCTGAACAAACATATTAGAAAGATGTTTTTGACAACTGTATTTTTCATGAGCCCCTGCTCTGCATCCTTGAGTTTTCATTCAGTAAATTAGAAATGTGTTCAGAAGTTTTTCAGCATCACTGAAAGACGGTGTTATTGACAATCTAAGGGGAGGTGCACCAGAGCCGAAGGAATCAGACATAACAGAAAAGGCAGTTTGAGGTTTTATTTTGTTTTGGATGGAGGACTGCTCAGTCTGTGACCTCTGCAGGGTGTGGTGGCGATCCTGGAATAATGACTCAGTATAGCTTAGTAAAGTCAACTATGACTAGACAGCAAGTCGGATGTTTTTGCTATTTGTGGAAGTTCCAGCACTCAAGGCTGATTTGCCCACCTTGTTCAAAGAGTACCTGCAGATGTGGCAGAGACAAACCTGCCAGTGCAAACTTTCAGTGACTCTAAGAGCCAAAACCTTAGACACCAATTGAAGTGCTCTGCATTTCATTGAATACGTGACAAATGTTGTTCTGGGAGAAGATTTTAGTATTATTCAGGGCTTTTACAGCACAAACCATGTTTATTCTGAGACACTTAAATCAGCCACAGGCAGCTAGTTGGCACCACCCAAACCCACAAACTGGCAGAGCTAAATATTGTCTCGGTCAACTGTTGATGCTACAAAAACTTATTTTTGGAAGAAGAACAAATTCAGTGTGCAGTTTATTTACATACACATTAAAACGTGATATTAACATATACACATGTTATTATATTTCCTGATGCTGAATGCTGTGTTTTAAAGTTGTTCATTTTCATAAATAAGAAACAAAACAAATCATACATTTGTTCAGAGAGCAAACAAACCGTTTCCACCACATGTTTTCTGAGCTGTTAATTTAGTTATTTAATGGGAATAAACACGTGTAACAGGTTCTGTGATGTGTCGTCTACATGGAAAAACAATATTCAGCTGCCAATCAGATATTTAAATTGATTAATTTTCAAGTAAGAATAAAAAAAAAATAATGTGGAAGGCAAAGGAGCTTGCAAAGAAAAGCGTCTGGACATCTTTAAGTTACTTGAAGAAGTTTCACCTCTCATCCGAGAAGCTTCTTCTTCTTTGCAAGCTCCTTTGACTACGATGACCTGGATGACTGAGAACCTTCACAGACAATAATGTGGAAGCGCTTTTTAACCTTAATGAGTGCAGGGTACTGTCTGATTTCAGACAAATCACGCCCATTTGATTTTCACATGTGTAAATATGATTAAAGAACTTTACAATGTCAGAGTATCAGCACAGAGTATCTGCACCACAGACTAAACCTGCCTTGTATTTTGTATTACTTGCACGCTGAGGAATTTTGGGGTTGTTGGACAACTCTCCCTGAACATGTGTTAGACATTTCTGGTTCACAGTGACAGATTTGGTAGAGTGACCGGGCTTTCTTTCAGCACACAGATCAATGAATTCTTTAGTAACATTTATAGGACAAATAATATTTTCATTACTTTGCCCTGTAGGTTTTGCATTCATAAATCAACAAGGAATCCAAAAGACTTTCCTGCATACCGTCACATACCAAAACAATATTCGCCCAAACTGAATGGGGGTTATTGTGCAGGATTTGGATTTGGGGGTTTCTTCAAAGGAGTTCACTGCGATTGAGAGTGATACTTCACTGTCTGGGACATTTCCAACATCTGTAGGCTTTGGAAAAATGTGTTGAGGCTTTTTTGCTAGTCTCAGTTTAAATTGGCAGATATGATTTCACTGTGTCTGATACTGGCTGACTACATCCCTTTCATACATGTTTGATCAAAGAACAAGAATAATGAAGCTTGACGGACAGTCTGTGAACTTGCTGCCCATATTCAGCTTAAACCTCATATTTTTCCTCTACTTTTTATACATATGTTTATGGCTTTAGTTGCTTAAACTTGCTGCATGTTACAGTGGGGCTAGCAGCTATTACAATGCAATCCTTCCAGGTTCGGTCATTTCTGGAGGGCATGGAAAGCACATGGTAGCGGCCAGGAAAGCATAGTTTCAGAGAAAGCTCAGTTTGAGCCCCAGCAGTATGTTCATACTGGCAGGCCACCTGGAGTCCACCTGTAAGCTACACACATTCTTTCCTCTTCTCTATCTTTATGTCTGTCTCCTTTTATTTATAAGTTATGACTGGATGTCTTTCTTGCCCACCCATATAATGTGAGAAAAAGCTGATGTTGAAACTTAGGAATCTATTCCTAGTGTTCCTCTGACTGAATTGTTTTCTAATGAAAGGCTTGCTTTCTATTTAAGTCAATGGCTTGAGTATTTTTGTTTAGGTCAAGGGACGCTGTGGCTTTGACTGTGTTGTTGTTATATTTTGTGTAACAGTGCTATAAAAACAAATTATATTTATTTCTAGAATCAAAACAAAACTTCTTGATTCAGACTTAACATTTCAACATCCAAATGAAATTAAGCACACATAGTGATTTCTTCCTGATGAATCACTGATTTTCATCTAGCATAACCGTCCAGGCATGTGAGAAATGGGTACTGTTGAATCTTAGTCATCTGTTCCTAGTTTACCTTAGACTGAATTCTTTTATAATGATGAATTACTTTCAATTGATGACTGTCTGCAATCTTTTTGCTATTTTTTTTTTTTTACAAATGTGGCCACAACACGAATAATTGTTATAATTTGTGTATATAATAGTGGTAAAAAATGTTTTTTAAATTTAATGTCACTTTTGTGAGATATGTTCTTAACGTTGCTGTAGAAACAGGTCAAAGCTCCTGCTTACCCAGGGAAATATCACCACACTGGCATGAAGGATTGGAGAAAAAAAACTGAAACCAACTTGGTTACTAAACAGTTTTTTAATTGCTTTGGTAATCTGCTGATTTTACTTTTGCTGCCATCATGATGTAACGATTGTGGTTATGAATCATGTCTAACCAGTAACTTGGTGGTTTTGCTTGCTCATGTCCTCTCAGAGTGAATTGTAACACGAGTTATAGCCCTAATTAATGGGGAAGTGTCTTAAAACTGGATTCTTTCTAATGGTTGACAGGGGCAAAACTTCCAGTTTCAAAATAAAATCTTGTTGTACAGATATCTGAAAGGTTCCTAATGAGTTCATGGTCTAAGTCTTATCAGAAATGTTGATGTTTATTTTGTGAAAGATAGTACCGTTTAGAGCAGGGGTGGGCAATTCCAGGCCTCGAGGGCCGGTGTCCTGCAGGTTTTAGATCTCACCTTGGGTCAACACACCTGAATCACATGATTAGTTCGTTACCAGGCCTCCGGAGAACTTCAGGGCATGTTGAGGAGGTCATTTAGCCATTTAAATCAGCTGTGTTGGTTCAAGGACACATCTAAAACCTCCAGGGACACCGGCCCTCAAGACCTGGAGTTGCCCATCCCTGGTTTAGAGTTAGCAAGGGTGATAAAGGGCTTACCCTGTGATACAGCTTCACTTTAGAGGTCACCATGATGGATCATCTGCCTCCAGCTCTATCTAACCCTCTGCATAGCCTCCTGAATTTTATAAACCTTCTTTGGGGTCTTCCTCTTTTCCTCCTGCTTAACAGCTCTGTAGTCAACATCCTTTGCCTGGTGCAGGGGTCACAAACTCCAGGCCTCGAGGGCCAGTGTCCTGAAGTCCTCGATCCAACACAGCTGATTTAAATAGCTAAGTGACCTCCTCAACATGTCTTGAAGTTCTCCAGAGGCCTGGTAATGAACAAATCATTTGATTCAGGTGTGTTGACCTAGGGTGAGATCTAAAACCTGCAGGACACCGGCCCTCAAGACCTGGAGTTCGAGACCCCTGGCCTAGTGCATCCAGTGTCCATCCTCTGCATATGTCCAAAGCAACTCTTCTTTATCTCTAAACCACTCGACCTGAGCTGTGCAGCTAAAATGCAAAGTGACTTTTTGTGTTAGGCTGTAAACATATTTATTTCTGCTGAGAGGCTGTGTTTTCTAAAATGGGTATTTCTGAATATTGGCTCACTGCAGTTTTGTTTTGGTTGTTTTTGCAATTCCATATTCATTCATTTGTTACAGTCTGTTATGACCATGTTGGTGTCATTCCTGGAACATAAGACTTAAAACTGCTCAAGTCTCACAGGTGAATTTGACCAAATGGTTGTTGTGATGTCACAGCTTTGTAAATGATGAAAAATACTTCATCTAAAACTAGTCTTAAAACTTTTTGAAACTGTGTTGGGTGTGAGTGAGCGTGAAGTTGACTTTCCAACACATTTGGGATTTGTTAAAATGTTTATTTTAGTTCAAACTTCTGGGCTTTGTTTGCTTGAACATAACGAAACTGCAACTGAAAATGAAAATAATATTGAAAAAGAGGAAGTCAACAAAAATCTCCGCTGACCTTTTTGTCCAGTTTCCCAAATGAAATGGAATTGTTTATCCACCACATTCTGACTCTTACACTAACTTTTTGTTGCTCTTTATATCACCTCAATAGACATCAGAAAGGTTTTTGGATTTAAAGTGTTTCTGCCAAAACGTTTTGCAGCTGCTGTGTTTTTCCACAGGTCACAAAGGTATTACATCACATTAACATGCTTGCAGTGATGGTCCTGTCCTGACGTTAATTATGATGTTTAAGAACAACACCATCATAGTGATTTCAAATAAGCCTCACGTTTCAAATTCCTGGTTAGTACTTCATGTACTTCGTATTCAAGCTAAACTGAATTTGTCTCATCTGCCACTTTTCTTTCTGCTTTTTGCCTTCAGGTTCCCATTCATTTTCTCTCACAAGAGATCACAATGATTCAAATTCATGCAAACCTCAGACATGCCACCTTTACACCATGGAAACCACAGCTAAGAGAAGGATTAAGTCTCTTTTAAGTCTGACTACTCAACATATTTGGGCTTCACAAGCATTTGAGGGATCTGGGTATGAAAAACCGTGAAAATATCTGCTCTATATTCATTCTGTGAAAAGATGAACTATATCTGACTGACCAGCAGATTATGTAAACATAAGCTACATAAATTCTTCTCCACTTAAATCAGAATTGTTACCACAAAAGCCCTGGAAGTTGTTTGACTTGTTGACAACCTTGCTAATGTATTTTTCTCTCCTTAGCTTATGTGAAGCTGTGCAAACTTAGAACCCCGCAAGACTGGAAAGAGAGGGAGGAGAGGAAAAAGAGTGTGTGTATGGAAGTGGAAATGGGCAGCAGGGAGGAGGAATGTAAAACATCTGATACTAGTCCAGTTGCTGTTTACACAGTAGTCAGCCCGTGACATCAGCGTCCAGACTTTATAAATGTCAGGCGGTGCAAGAAGGAGCAGTTAGCAAACAGCTGCACTGGTCACACCACACCGTCACACAGTTCACTGAGACAGACCGAGCTCCATCAGCAACACAAGCCCCCATGGACCGACAACTGTGTGACTGTGTGATTGCTTTGGCTGTACTGCTGTGTGTGACTACACAGGTGAGGCCTCCTCCAGCTTATTTACAGTAATCGATTCTGAATGAGACTTTTATCAGAGAGTATTGTAGGTATGTAATGCTGAATTGTTTGTTTTCTTCCTTCATTGATCAACACATTTCCTTTTTAAAGTATTTGTTAATGTTTTCTGAAAGAAAGACGACATTTGCCTTGATTTTATTACAATGATTTGAAATAAAGATGAGATGATTAAAGTCATCCATCAAGAAAAGGTGATGTATTAGACAAGCAAGACTGTTGTTAATATTTTTATTTTTACCTAGTTGTTAATGTCTTTTTTTGGTTGATCAAATGCCAGAAATTGAAGTGAAATCACACTTTACTTGTCATCAACCTCCTCGTTTTGTGTAGCCGACTGTTAGAAACCAGTAGACATTCAATGTTATGGTAACATCACAAATACAGACAGAAAACTCTTACAACATAAAAGGGGGGACTACATTTTTTCCCTTGAATATGATGTAAAATATGAATAAGAAGTCCCACCTGTGTTTTTTTGCAGTTATGTATTTGAAAAGTTGTTGACTGCATTTCTTTACAGTAACTTTGTTGTAAAACCTTGAAGGCTTCTCTTGTAAAGTGAAAGTGGACTTGGCCAGACCTCGCCTGTGTTTTGGCTCCTTCAGACACATGTAATTGGAAGCAGTGCTTTATTGCGTTGGATACCGATTCAGCTTCTGAGAATGCTTATAATATTTTCTTTGCTTCTTTTCTTAAGGAATGAGAGTAATAATTTTGGTACTGGAATGATCATAACATCAGAAGACTGATTTATGATGATTTTCTCTCATCTTTTCAGGTTTTGTCATATTGTCATACCTTCTAACTTATTTTTCTTGCTCCTCCAGGTGCTGTGCCAGTTGTGTGACAGGCCATGCCTTTGCCCCAATCCTGTCCCTCAGTGCCCCACAGGAGTACCCCTGGTGCTGGATGGCTGCCGGTGTTGCCAGGTGTGTGCCCGGCAACTAGGCGAGTCCTGTACTGAGATGTTTCCCTGTGACAACCTGCGAGGGCTTCAGTGCGACTACAGCGCCAGCTTCCCTGGGTTACCTGGGGAGTGTGTCAGTGAGTGTCACTTCTAACAAGCAAACAACCAGGCCCATGTCTGTGTGGGTAGGCTATAAGGGTGGAGGACACATAGGGAGGGAGTAGATAGAGCCTCAGCCAGTTTGCATGACTGGGACACACAGACTGACACTTAATGTTAGAGTCTGCTTAGCTGAGTGGATTCAGGACTGCTCTTGACACATTTCCTGTAATAATTACCCATGAGCATGATAAATTGCAGAGACAACACTCCAAATGAAAAACAACTTAACAGTGTCTCACTGAAGAGACTTGCTTTTCCATAAAGTGATGCAAGCACTTGCAGGGACAGCAGCTCCTGTGTCCTCACCTCTCTCTTGTTTTCTTCTGCTTCTTCCACCTAACTTAATCTGTCCATTTCCTGATTAAGTTTCCACATCAATGGATAAGCAAAGACAACGTCTGTGTTTCTAACAGGTCAGAAGGATCTGGGCTGTGAGGTCAGTGGGATCTTTTACCAGGAGGGGCAGTCGTTCCAGCCCTCCTGTGACACTTACTGCCGCTGCAGGGGGGGCGGGGTGACCTGCGTGCCAGCTTGTCCACTGAATGCTCGTCTTCCCACTCCAGACTGTCCCAACCCACAATACATCCGACTACCTGGGAAATGCTGCAAGGAATGGGTGTGTGAAAACCTTGAAAACACGGTCATTCAGGATGCAATTACAGGTAATGGATGCATGACTCTCTGATACAGATGTATTTTGATGTTTTACAGGTGGGGAAAAGAGCTAGCCTGACATGTTTAATGATTCCTTTAAATTTTCCTGACATCAGAGCTGGATGTCTACAACATATTTTCCAGTGTCTGGATTCTAGTGCCAAACGTATGTTCATGTAGCGTATGAGTCTTAGTTGCTCCTCACTGATGATCAATCCATATGTAATATAATCCTTCATTCCTTTTTATGAGCTCTGTTACCGGCGGTCATGTCTGGAAGTTTTTACTGGAGTATTTGTGCATTAAACGGGGTGTGTCAAGCCAAAGGAAAACTCCCCAAATCCAAATATAAACCACATTTTTGTGGGTGAAAACATCCTTTTTCCCCTCAGTCACCATGCTTCTCAGTTTCATAACAACAACCAAAGCTGTGTGACAATTAAATATATGAAGCCATGTCAAGACCTCATTACTTCATTAAAGGGGGAGTGTGTGAGCACATGAGATGGGTGTTGGGGAAATGAAGCCAGTCTGAAAACATCTGGAATTCCAAACACTGTCTGACTCAAACTAAGTTATGAGAACAGCAAAGGAACATTTTGTGCTTCGATACAAAACCTACTGTGTCATCGTTGAAAGTTAGCCGGTTATTATGACTTCTATGTGTTAGTTCTGTGGCTTTTATTTGCACAAAAATGCACTAAATGTAGCTTTAAAATTTGATGTGAGCAAAAAAAAGAACCAGAGAGGTGAAAAAGTCCAAACAGGATCCATTTTACTTTACTTTAAAATAAAGGTTTTCAAACTCTGTTGGGAAGCTGGATTAAGAGGAAGCTATATAAGCAGGCTGATCACCATAAATATGTAAGTGCTGAGGTAATGAGAGGAGTCAGCTGCTTAGATTGTGAACAGTTCTGCACTGGTAGTTGTTTGTTTGGTAGTGTGATTATTCAGAAGTTATGAAAAGATCTCCATGAACGTTTTGGCAAACGTGGGGATTTGCCCAACTTAAAAGTAACTTTTAGAGTTGGAAGGATTATTGCAGTTGGCAAGATTTGACACAAATTTAAATAAAAACTTAGAGAGATGGTTTTCATTTTCCCTAAAATATGCCAAACTCATTTGCATCTAGATATCCTGGTTTCAGGACTAAATTCCTGTATGGTAGGTAGGGAATCGTCAGCATTGATGAAATGATGCAGTCTCAGATTGTTGTTGTTTTAGTTTTGGTGCATTTAGAATTTGATCTAAAGGTTTGATGCATTTCCAGTATTTGTGTAGCTCAGCAGCTCAGGTAGTTAGCAATAGGCCACCTCAAAGCAGGATCCCACAGTGATTAATCACTTCAGCAAGAGCAGGGATATTCAATTGAAATTTAAGGAGGTCCACTGAGAAAATTTCCTCAAACAAGGGTCCACAACATCATAAAGTCCCACACTCTAAGTAAATGCAATATATTTTGAAGTATGCAGTACACAGTTGTATCGATGCCAGTATATAGTCAGGAACTGTCACACAAAAGAAAATACAATTCAACAGTATTTCAACAATCTTTACTATTATCTTATTCTAATAATAATATAATACTAAAAAGTTCTTTGCTAATTCCAAGCATAATAAGGTTTGCATTCAATAATGAGAAAGAGCTTTTGATAAAGTTGTCTTCAAATAAACTGATTTAAAAATAATGAAAGGTGTAGTTTGAGTCCCCCCTTCTGTTTTTTCTTCTTAGCTTCTACATATAAATCATCTCAGCTTTACCCCTTCTACTCTCAGTTTCCTGTTCTGCATCACGTCTACTCAGTAAGCTGTTTTCCCCGTGCTAAATGATTTGATTGGCTGAGCAGTATCATGTGATAATTGACTACCGTAAAGGAAAAAGCTGCTCATTATAATACACTTACTATAAATGAAAAAAAAAAGTTGCCCAGATTAAAATAAAAACAGCCCATCAGGGCACATGAAGAACGGCATCTGTGTAGAAGAAGCTCCTCTTGAGTCTCTCTGTCCTTGCCCGGATGATGCGGAACCTTCTACCAGATTGCAGAAGTTGGAACAGTTTGTTGCCAGGATGGGACGGGTCCTTCAGTATCTGCGCTGCTCTAGTCCGGCATCTCCTGGTGTAGGTGTCCTGAAGCGGGGGGAGAGCAATCCTGCAGCAGCGTTCTGCTGTGCGGATCACTCTCTGGAGAGCTTTTTGGTCCTTCACACAGCTGTTCCCAAACCACGATGTCATGTTCTGTGTGAGGATGCTCTCCACAGCGCCTGTATAGAAAATCCTGAGGATCTTTGGAGAGACCCTGAACTTCCTCAGTTGTCGTAGGTGGTACAGGCGCTGCCTAGCCTTTTTGGTCTGGACCTGAATGTGGGCAGACCATGTCAGGTCTGAGGAGATGTGGACACCAAGATACTTGAAGGACTGCACCCTCTCCACTGGAGCTCCATTGATGATAATGGGCTTGTAGTCTCTGTGCTGACTCCTTCTGAAGTCCATCACCAGCTCCTTGGTCTTGCCAATGTTCAGCTGGAGATGGTTGTCCTGGCACCATGATGCCAGATTCTTCACTTCGTCCGTGTAGGCCGCCTCATCGTTGTTGGAGATGGCACCCAACACCACTGTGTCGTCAGCAAACTTCACAATGGTGTTGGAGTAGTGGGTGTAACACACTATGCATAGATAATTGCAATACTTTATATAGTTTATATGCTAAGAAAACAGGTAATAAGCTTTATTAAAGTAAATGAATAGATAAATACATTTATTGATTAATTAAAACTTTCATTAAGAAGTTTAATAAGTGCTAAATTTTCACAAAGACTAGAATCACATTTGTCTACTTAACGCAACATGAACGTTGGACATGAATTTTCATCTTATTGTACTCATTGGTTTGTTTGGTTTCCCTCCCCACCCAGCAATGAAACCGGATCAGTTATGGCCATCTTTGCAGAGGCATCACCTTCAAAACAACAAGTTTTCGCCTGCCTCCTCTTGTGTAGAGCAGAGCACCCAGTGGAGTGCCTGTTCCCAGAGCTGTGGGGCGGGGGTCTCCACACGGGTTTCTAACCAGAATCCTGCATGCAAACTGGAAATAGAAACTCGCCTGTGTAAGGTGCGACCTTGCCACACTTTCCAGCCGGCCCCAAGGAAGCCCATGGTGAGCGCTAACAAAACCCACATCCTGTAAATGTGTACATTTACACGTACTGTCAGGTTTTACCTTTGATTTCAGTTTCACGTATAGCTTCTTTCAAAACTGTAACGAGAAAGTTCACCGGGTCACACAAAGTATGCAGAGACATGTCATCATTTTTAACACAATATCACAAAAGGTAAAAAGACATTTTAAGGCAACTACGAAAACAATGATAAGAATCTGTCTAGTTAGACACCACAATGAAGCTGTGACAGAACAATTCTACTTTTTGTTTCGTTTCTCTCGTCTGCCTTTTGACACAGAATGATACTGAAACAGATTTCATCAATCAGATGGGGGAGGGGTTCCTCTAAACCCAGACTACATTAAAAAAAAATTAAACATTTCAGTGTTAAAAGTACTAAAAGGGACTTTATAAAGTAGTTCCCACTAGTCACTGAAAAACTGTGGGTCCCACTTTCGTGCAGCAGAGTGGAGTCGGCCTTCCTGTAAATCTGCAGTCAATGTTTATACTCGTTAACTAACTGAACTACAACCTTTCACTGACCTTTTTTTTTAACCACTGTTTTTACCATCAATTATTTTTAGAGGCTTTGAGGCTCTAGAGATTTTTTAGAGGTTTTGTAGGCCTATGTTACTGATGTGCAGATAAAATATATTAAAAAATGCATATTGTCATGAAGTCTACCTAAACATCTTGAATCTTTAGCCTTACTGAATCATTACACTGATTACCTGATTTTTCTTCTTCTCACTGTTGTTTCAGTGGGGACAGAAAGGAAATTGCAAGGCCAGCTACACGTCACCGGGACCCATTCGGCTAGTTCACCAGGGCTGCTACAGCACTCATGCCTACCGAGTCCGTTACTGTGGTCAGTGCACTGACTCGCGATGCTGCACACCTTACCAAACCAGCACTGCTGAGGTGACCTTCCGATGTCCCACTGGCAGACTGCTGCAACGAGCTGTAATGATGATCCAGTCATGCGCCTGTCATAATAACTGCCCCTATGCACCTTTTACAAATCCCGCTCTGTGGGGATACAGACCCTGATCAGTGTGTAAGAGCACGGACTCACTAAAACTATAGACTTCAGTGAATGTTTCAATGGCTTCACAATAAAAGTATCCCCAGGTGGATTGACGTAAACAACAAATGGACACTGAAAGAGAATATTATTATTTTAGAAAACTGTGATTTTGGATGAATATGTCTGCACTTATTTACAGCTCACAACTTCTGGAAAGCATCATTCTGCCAGTTTGTGACTTCATCTGAGAGTCAATAGAAAACAAGTAGACGTGTTTTACAAGAAAGGGAGAAAAGAAACATAAATGTAGGAGAGCTAGGGACTGTAATATACATGTATAACTCACAAAGTAAGTTCTAGAAATACTTTTACAAATAACTTTCAGATGTGCACTGATTTGGTTTCTTTTTTCCTCCCAGAATTGTTCAGTACAGTGATTCCCAATAATGTTTCGCCTTGGATATCAAAAGCAATATTTTAAAATCACTGAAAACATCTTGCCTTTTCCCAAATCTTTAGGCTAAAGTTAAACACTACGTAGATATACTATAATTCAGTTTTGGGAAAATGGATCAAATTAAACTCATCCAATATTGTTGAAATCTGGCCTGTAAAAAGAGAAGCATGTCACCTAAAATCTATATTATAACTTAAAGACAGTTGACCATGATGTCAACTGGTCATGAACATACTTTTAAAGACTGATTTTTTTATTTCTAACTTGTAACTTGTGTCTATAAATTCAACTTTCAGTGATGTAGAAATATGTATTTGTTAAAGACATAACCCACAGAACGATTACAACTTTTGTAATGACAATTTCTAGATATTCTCTGACGTGAGCAATGCAGCTTTTAACTTTTGAACTGTGTGTGTGTGTGTGTGTGTGTGTGTGTGTGTGTGTGTGTGTGTGTGTGGCATAATGGGATTACATTGCACTTTCATTTATTATTCTGATGTAAATAACTGTAAAGAGGTGTCTCGTGTACAGTGATTTTTTTAAAGTATGCCCTGTATTTTTACTCCCACTGGATTTTGTGCTTTTTGTGGTTATTATGTTTGTATAAATAGTTACATTGTTCAAACTGTAGCTTTTAATTATGTCACTTCATCTGTCATGACTTTCTGCTGCTGATGAGCTGTTAAAACTTGCTTGTAGCACACCAATATACACACTAAAATCAACAAGAAAATCCTTTTGCAGCTTTGTGGATAAATTTAACTTTTAATAACTCTTATTATGATACTGGCTTAATGTGTTATATTTCTTTATTGTTCCTTTAAGGGTTTTTTTCAGTCTCACTTAAAAATACCTAGTATGCTTAGAAAGCTACAGTGGTGGATATAAGGATGTTGTGGGTTCATGAGCAGCTGAATATAAAGATACATTCTGAAATGAAAAAAGTGAACGTGATCTCTATTAAAAGTCCAATTATCTTGTAGCGTCCCTCCGACAGAAGACAGACACGATCGGTGTTCCGGTTACCGGTGTTTATTAAGAATAGTAACAAAGGCTACTGTGGGCTGTAGCCAACAACAAAACGACAGGGAAAAATGCAGTCTCCAGAATCAAAACAACCCCCCCAACTCTCTCTCCTCTTTTCCGCACACACCCAAAACAACATTCTCTAACACCCGCCCCCCAAACACTCTCAGCCAACCACACACATGCTCTCCTCCAGACTCTCTGTCACTGGTAGCTGATCTGATTGACTGGCCACCATCATTGTGTGTCACAATGGTGGTGGAGTCTGTAGGGGTGGAGTCCAGGTCTGTCTGTGGCCCACCCTGTTGTCCCAGTGAAGTGGCCGCGCCCTGATAGGGGGACAGTCTGTCCCGGTGCAGGGCGACCCTACGTCCCCTTGGGGGCAGTTGTACCCTATACACCACTTCCCCCAGGTGTTCCAGAACCTTACAGGGTGCAACCCAGTCACTGTCCAGCTTAAGGCATCTGCCCTTTTTCCTATAGGGGTTGTACACCCAGACCAGTTCCCCGATGTCAAAATGTCGGCCTCTGGAATGGACGTCGTAGTTCCTCTTCTGCCGCACCCCCGCACTCATCAGTTTCCTCCTAGCAAAGTCATGAGCTGACTCCATGCGATCCTGGAGCTTCCTCGCATAGTCAGGACCTGATTGATCCCCATCAGCATCGGGGGGTCGGCCCATCATCATCTCCGCTGGAGTCCGGATCTCCCTGGCCAACATCAAGAGGCAGGGGAGCACGAAGTGGAGTCTTGAATGATATGCCATGAGGACCAGGGGAATATGAGTGTCCCAGTCACGTTGATGTTTAGCCGTCACTAGCGCCAGTTGCTCTGCCAGTGTATGGTTAAATCTCTCAACGAGACCATCACTCTGTGGGTGGAGGGGTGTTGTACAGGTCTTATGGGAGCCTAGTTTCTCGCACATGGCTGCAAACACACGGGACTCAAAGTTCTTGCCCTGGTCCGTGTGGATTACTTCAGGCACCCCAAATCTGCTGAACATCCCCTCCACCAGAGCATCCACAATCTTCTTGGCCTCTTGGTCAGGTAAACTGTGTGCCTCTGGCCACTTTGTGAAATAGTCTATAGCTGTGAGGATACAGCGGTTTCCCCTTTCTGTGCGGGGAAAAGGACCCTGAATGTCCATCCCCACCCTCTCCATAGGGTACCCTACCGAAAACTGTTGCAGTTGGGCATGGGATTTGGCTGTAGGCCACTTTTGTGCTGTACAGCTGTCGCAGCAGCGGCAAAACTCCTCTACATCCCGCCTATGTTGGGCCCAATAGAATTCCTGCCGGAGGCGGCGGAGTGTTTTGGTGACACCAAAGTGGCCAGACCCTGGGGCCCCATACACTGCGCGAAGCACCATCTCCTGCAGGGCCCGAGGGACCACCAACTGCCACCTCATCTTGCCCGTAGCTGGTTCCTTCCAGCCCCTTTCCAGCACTCCATTGTACCGCCACAAGGCATTAAACATGGACCAGAGTCCCTTTGTGGCCCGTGACAACATGGGGTTTTCGCTGTTCCTCAGTTCACCCAAGCACTGGTTTGATGTCAGCATCCTCCTCCTATTGATGTCTCTACTCTGTTGCATCCACAGCAACCAGCCTCTGACCAGATGGTAAATGGCCTGCATTTGTATAGCGCTTTTCTAGTCCCTAAGGACCCCAAAGCGCTTCACACTACATTCAGTCATTCACCCATTCACACACACATTCACACACTGGCGATGGCAAGCTACATTGTAGCCACAGCTGCCCTGGGGCGCACTGACAGAGGCGATGGCCGTTCCTCTACCCCTGTCACAGCACACTTTACATTGGGCACCAATTGGTCCTCCTCCTGAGCTTCCTTCCTCTCACAGTAGTGCCATCTGTCTTGGGCACAGGGTCTGCGGGAAAGCGCATCTGCATTTATGTGCTGGGCCCCAGGTCTGTGTACAACCTCAAAATCATAAGCCTGCAGCTTCTCAATCCAGCGTGCTAGCTGCATGAGCCATTGCAAGGCAGCATGGTCAGTTCTGACCGTAAAGTGGAGGCCCCCGAGGTAGTACTTAAAGTGGTGTATGGCACATACCACTGCGAGCAGCTCCCGCCTTGTGACACAATAGCAGCATTCAGCTTTGTTGAAGACCCGACTATGGTATGCCACCACTTTCTCCCCGCCGGGTATCACCTGGGCTAGCACTGCACCAGATCTGCTGCCATCTGTGTCAAAGACAAAGGGCAGAATGGAAATGCATGCTATACTGTGGGTACACTGTGGACCTCTCTCTGTTTTGTAAGTCTGCCCACAGTGCTATGCACAGGTCCCAAAGGAGATGGGGGAGCAGTGTGCTACTGGGGGAACACACTACCATTGGGGTAAGGCTGGGACAGTATCAATATGGGCAGTATGTGTTAGAGTAACATCCACACAAATGATTTTCTGGTATGTTAATTTAAGTTTTGAAACTGCTTTTACAAGCTAATTGTGTGGTCATTTTCTGTTGCATAGCAGTCTCATTGTTGCTAAACAGGCAGGACAGAACCACGCTGTAGAACAGGGATAAGATAAATGTTGAAAACACAGAGATTCAGACTGTGGAAGCATAGGCTAAAAACTAGAGCTGAACTTATTTCACTTTTCACTTCTCATATGGCTTTGTCAGAATGAGAGCAAACAACAGCGTGTATAAACGTGTGAAAACTGCCACTCCTGCATGGTTACATTTTCCTGTTTTCAGTGAAAGAGGTGAGTCAGTTATCTCATAGCCCACAGATGCAACTCAGGAAGTGTATAAATGTGTGTGTGCTTTGATCTGTGCAGTGAAGGCTCTCACTCATCGAGGAGGAGGAATTGTACCGACTGCTATCAAGGACACGATGAACAACTCTTGCATCAGCTTTGACTTTACAGGAAAATTCCTGCCACCTGTCTACATTTTAGTATTCATCACTGGCATGGTGGCTAACGGACTGGGATTGAGGTCGGTGCTGCAGAAATGGGAGAAACTGGGGAATGTCTCTGTTTTCATTTTCAACCTTGGACTTGCAGACATTTTGTATTTGCTCACACTCCCTTTTCTGATGGTGTACTACTTCAAGGGTGATCAGTGGATCTTTGGAGAAGCCTTTTGCAAGACAACAAGATTCTTCTTCAACCTGAATTTATACGGCAGCATTGGATTCCTCACCTGTATCAGTGTGTACAGGTACTTGGCTATTGTCCATCCAATGAGGATGATGGGGAGAATAACTGTGACTCATTCTGTGGCTATCTCAGTCATGGTCTGGCTGTTGGTGAGTGTTCAAAGTCTTCCAGACATGTTCGTCCCCAAATCACCCATAAACAATACTAAGAAGTGTTTTGATACCACCTCTGAAAAGTACATTGAAGATTATCTGAAATACAGTTTGGGATGGACACTCACTGGATTTTGCATCCCCCTGTTCATCACCCTCAGCTGCTATGGACATATGATTGCTGTTCTCTGCCACAATGATAACATTGATGAAGTACTGAAACAAAGAAGCTTAAAGTTGTTATTCATCTTGATTCTTCTGTTCTCTGTTTGTTACATCCCCTATCATATATTAAAAAATCTCAACCTCTTGTCAAGACTAAGCGTAATCAAGGGGACATGTCATAAATGGTCTAATGGAGTCTATATTGGTCATCAGATAAGCCGTGGCCTTGTGTGTCTGAACAGTGCGCTCAATCCTCTAGTTTACCTGCATGTAAGTGAAGATGTTTGTTCTCAGCTCAGACAGCTACTCCAACAAGCTCGCCAAGCTGTCACTAGTCTGTACACCTCTAACCTCACGGATACTTGAAATGTGCCGATGAACATGAGGAGTACGCCTCATCTGAGACTCATCTGAGACTTTTGTAAGAAACACAAAAATGTTGCTTTTTACTAAAAAGCAAAAATAATACTTAAAAAATACTTGAAAGACGAGTTATTGCATTTGTGATGTAGTTGCATGGTGTCATGCATGGGAGGTTTGCAGCTTGAATGTGTGAAAACAAACAGGATATGATGCTGCATGCTTCACTGCTGATAGAAGGTTAATGTTAACAGCATATCACATGTATGTACACACGCTGAAAGTCAATTTTGATTATGTTGTATATACTGTATATCTATACTTTGAGCATTTGAATTCAAGCCTCCTCATTGTTGTTCTGCTGTCTAACTATAATTAAATGATTTTTATTCAGATTTCCCTTATTTTTGATAGTAAGTGCATAGTGGATGCTTTCTGTCTTTTTATTTATTTTTCAGTAAAATAAACTGTTTTGTCTAGATCTCATTTTTGTTTTTTATGTACAACACATTTCCAGCAATTGAATTAAATGTTTCAAATATTTGAGGAAAATCAGCTTTGCAAATATTTTTAAAGGTGGTAAATCAATTCAAGAATACAATTTAAGATTGCAAGAATACACAGTTGTTTTTGTGAAAGAACCGTAATGTAGTCGATTATGATATCCTCTGACTGCATTTCGTTACCTCGTACTAGTGACATGTCCAATGACAATAAAGTTGAATTCTATTCTATTCTATACTAAAATGCCACAGGATATCTCATGTAAAATTATGGTAACACCTATATTTATTTTCCTCTCTAAGAAGTGATCGCGCAGTTTTTCCGCTCTCACCATGGGTGTATACGTTACACAGATGTTCGTTTACCACAGATAGCAAAGTAAATGCACCCCTAAAGGTTTAAAGCCTCTGAGGTTGTTATCAGAAGCAATACTACTTTATACTTTGTCATTAAAGTCGAGATATTTTCAAATGTATTGTAATTAGCAGGTCATTTGCTTTAAATTAGCAGCATCATGTTTGGAATAAAGAAAATGCTCCATTCCAGCAAAGGAACCTCATCAGACATTTTGGATAAGTAAAAGTGGCAGGTTTATGTTTTTCCCAGTCAAAAAGACTCACTCTTGATAAAACTATGACTTTTAGACAAATTTATTATGGAGATTCTGCAATTTTGCACACAACAGTAGCTGCAATTAAAACCATTTATGACCTAAAACATAATTTAACATAAGTCCTAAATATGTCATTGCCTGTGAGTCTTGATGGGTTATTTTGTGATTTCAGGTTGTTATTGAAAGTTTTCAGTTTGCTTTTAATTATTATTCCACAGCTTTAGTTTTAATTATTATTGTAGGTTGAGTTTTACTATTCTTTCTATTAATGTTCTTCCATTCTGAGTTGTGTTAGAATTATTATTCTACTTTGAATTCATTCATGTTTTTGTTTTCATGTAGTTTCCATAGTTTTTCTTGTCACTTGGTTTAGCTTCACCTCTAATCCGAGAAGCTTATTCAGTTCTAGGGTCAAATGGTGGAGAGTCACAGAGCACCAGTCCAGTATTTGACCCTAGAACTGAAGAAGTCTCTCGGATGAGAGGTGAAACGTCCTCAAGCAATTTAACGAAGTCCAGATGTTTTTTTTTCCATGCTCCTTAGACTACGATGACCTCGATGACGGAGAACCTTCACAGACAGCTTTGAGATGCATTTGTAGATAAAAGGTATGTCCCAATTCATAGGCCGCATCATTCGAAGGCCAATTACGTCACAGCCAGGCGACGAAGGCTGTCCCATTTTAAAGATTCCTCCAAATGCGGCTGACAAATGCGTCCTTCATTTCCCTGAATTTGACGGATGGGTCGAGTGTGTCCTTCGTGGCCCAACCTATCCCAGAATTCATAGCGCAGCCCAGCAAATTCCAGTCTCTAACAATGGCGGCAGCTACTTAGTTTCAATATTACTCCTATTACTGTTTCTGGGTCACAAAATACACTTTTAGCATATTTTCAGGTGAGAATGTAGCTGTGTAAACTTCAAATATCTGTTCGATTTATTAAGACATCACATATTTGCAAAAGTGCTTCGACGTTTTCTGAGACGTCTGTTACCGACTAGCTCGATAGCTGGTTATAGTTATAGTTTTCACACAGCTGAATAAACGTCAAACAGAAAACTATTAAACAGAAGTGTGAGATGGTCGAGTATTTACTCCAGTGTCCTGTTATATATCAGTGAGCAAGGAGCAGATGGCTGAGTTTATTAAACTCCACCGAGACAGCTGGTGATGCAAATCTGAAGGCTCGACTGTCCCATTTCACAGCCTCGCACTTCCAGCCTTCTCGGTCTTTGAAGGACAGCCCGTGCAGACCGCAAAGGCCGGGTCCTTCGACCTATGAACTGGGACATACCTATTATTACGTGTTTTACCATCTTTAAGGTGCTAGCTTAACGTTATGGTGTAAACGTTACCTTATATTGTAATAAAGCAGTTACTGTTTAAACAATGTTAGGACAGAAATATTAGCTTCTGTCATGACTAATTAAGTTACTAGTTAATAAAGTTACCAGTAAAATGATTCATCGCTGCCACAAATTCACAGTAAAGTTTCAGTTATCACTGTGGGACTGCTGAGTCACCTGAAGAACTGATTTCATTCATGGGGGAACTCCAGTAAGTAAGAATTCTAAAAATAGGAACCCAGACAGACAAATGCAGAATTGTGACATAAATGTCAACGTGTTAGCTGACATAGGAGGACAGCTGCATATATATGGGGTACCGTTTGTAAAGTGAAACATGCTGACATTAACGGCAACATTTTTCTACATTTAGCTCAAAACCTTACAAAAACATGTTTTTTTCAAGTCATGTTTTACAACATTTAGTAAAATATTTGTAACTTCTTACATTTAAAACACAATTTTAAATGTTAAATCTAAATTTTAAATCTAAATATTATATTTAAATCTAAATGTTAGATTGCCTAACAGCATGTCCAGCGATTTAGCTGGACATGTGCTACGGCGATTGTGAAATGGAGACTAAATTTGCTAAATGTTAGCTAAATATTCAGTTTCCTGTAACATTTAGATTTAACATTTAGATTTAGAGCTAAATGTGGAAAAATGTTGCCGTTAATTTCAGCATGTTTCACTTTACTAACGGCGCTCCATACAGTGGGGCAAAAAAGTATTTAGTCAGCCACCGATTGTGCAAGTTCCCCCACTTAAAATGATGACAGAGGTCAGTAATTTGCACCAGAGGTACACTTCAACTGTGAGAGACAGAATGTGAAAAAAAAAAAATCCATGAATCCACATGGTAGGATTTGTAAAGAATTTATTCGTAAATTAGGGTGGAAAATAAGTATTTGGTCACCTCAAACAAGGAAAATCTCTGGCTCTCACAGACCTGTAACGTCTTCTGTAAGAAGCTTTTCTGTCCCCCACTCGTTACCTGTATGAATGGCACCTGTTTGAACTCATCATCTGTATAAAAGACACCTGTCCACAGCCTCAAACAGTCAGACTCCAAACTCCGCCATGGCCAAGACCAAAGAGCTTTCGAAGGACACCAGGAAAAGTATTGTAGACCTGCACCAGACTGGGAAGAGTGAATCTACAATAGGCAAGCAGCTTGGTGTGAAAAAATCAACTGTGGGAGCAATCATCAGAAAATGGAAGACATACAAGACCACTGATAATCTCCCTGGATCTGGGGCTCCACGCAAGATCTCATCCCGTGGGGTCAAAATGATCATGAGAACGGTGAGCAAAGATCCCAGAACCACACGGGGGGACCTGGTGAATGACCTGCAGAGAGCTGGGACCAAAGTAACAAAGGTCACCATCAGTAACACACTACAACGGCAGGGAATCAAATCCCGCAGTGCCAGACGTGTTCCGCTGCTGAAGCCAGTGCATGTCCAGGCCCGTCTGTGTGTGCAAACCTGGTAAAGACCTATAGTAAACGTTTGACCTCTGTTATTGCCAACAAAGGTTATGTTACAAAGTATTGCGTTGTATTTTTGTTATTGACCAAATACTTATTTTCCACCCTGATTTACGAATAAATTCTTTACAAATCCTACCATGTGGATTCATGGATTTTTTTTTTTTCCACATTCTGTCTCTCACAGTTGAAGTGTACCTCTGGTGCAAATTACTGACCTCTGTCATCATTTTAAGTGGGGGAACTTGCACAATCGGTGGCTGACTAAATACTTTTTTTTGCCCCACTGTACATGTAGTCTGAAAAACAGTTTTGTCAGGTTTGCAGGTATATCAGCATGAGACATTTTTACATTGACGAGATTATTAAAATCTCTAATTCAGTGAAGCATTATTGGTCCAGTCTGTTTGGATAAATATAGTAAGCTGATGTATGTCCATTTATTCACACATTTTCTTAAGTGCTTATCCAGTTCAGGATCACAGTGGGGTTGGAGCTGGATATGTTAAATAAATACACCTTACAAAAGTTAACAATAAACCTCCATCCATGTATGTTGTTATCCACAGGATGAGAACATCAAAATGATCAAACTGGAAAACTGTGGAACAGAAGTCTTTCAGAGGAGGCTGGAGGCACTGAAAGGCTTCCCTTATAGTTCCTGGTGAATAAAAGCAGAACCGTAAAGTTTACTGGACTCCTTTACTGAGAAGCCATCCAGTAACGGAGGAACTGGTTAGAAGCTATTTTCTCGACATCCAACTCTAAATTCTGGACATATTTTTCATGCTCATCCAGCTATTTAGTAAATTCAATATCTATCAGCTATAAACTATAATACAAATATAATAAAATATAACTATCTCCTGGTATTTATAGTTTATTGATGTAAGACCAGACATCTGTTATCATATCCCATTCCTCACATATCAATGAGATGCTTTACAGGTTTGCTGTGCAGATGCATGGAAACTGTGAACCAAATGGCGTGACGAAACAGACATGAACATGACCTGCACGGAGCCTCATCGTGCGGCTGTATGAAAAACAACATAAACCAAATGGCAAACATGAACTGCACAGAATCCTGAAAAACACTTAACTTGACTAGAGGGGAGGGACACAGACGACGCAACAACGAACAAAGGAAGACTGAGGACTTAAATACACACATGAGGTGATCGGGGGAAGTGGAGACACATGAGGACACAGCTGACTCGAATGAAACACAATGACAATACAGGGGAGAGTAACACTAACTACAATGAACAAAGAACACCAGACTCTTAGAAAATAAAACAGGAAACACGGAGACATAGACATGGAGATAAAACATGACATGAACTTAACGTAACCACATAGACATGAAACGTAGACGCAGGAACCAGGGAGACTGAGTACAGGCGGAGATGACAGAAATAACTAAGAAATAAGGTCTGAACAGCAACCTAGAATTTAACTAGATTGAAAATGACTACAAAAAATACATAAAACTCAAACACTGGGTCACACGACCCAG